ACGCTCCGGACCACTGAGGAGCTGAGCTCTGAGCTGCTGTGGGAGGCAGAGCCCCATTCCCAAGGGAGCCACCACCTGCTCCTGACACTGTTTGTCCCCTCCCTGACCTGGAAGGGACTTTAACCACAACAAACTCTCAGGGTTTTTTGACCCATCACCAGCCTGGAGCAAGGCCAGGGCTGCGGAGACATCAGAAGATTCAACACCCCCCTCCAGTCCAAAGTCCAAGCTCCAGGCTCCTCCTCCGCGCTGGGAGACACTTGGCATCCTGATAACGACTGTTCAAGGACACTCTTCCCAGTTCAGGCTCTGGGAGCCCAGTGCCTGGCCCTCATTGCTGCTCCCTGCACACCCCTCTGAGCAGCTGCAGAACCCCGAGAACCAGCAACCCCTCTTATTAAATTAAATCATTACAATTAAATGTCAGCCCAGGCTCTGGAGCCTGCCCGGCCCTCGGATGTTTGGTGGCAGGATCAGCAGAGCTGGGAGAGCTGGGACAAGGGGCTGGAACCACAGCCAAGCCCCTGGTTCCCACCTGGCTTGGAGGGCCTGGAGATGCCACCAGCTCCCCCCGGACTTCCCGAGACAGCTGCCACAGACCCCGAGGCCAAGCCCAGCCCAGCAGCATCTCCCCTGCCTGGTGTACAAAATGCCCCGGGAAGCTCATCCCACAGCGAGCAGGAAAGCTGGGATTTAACCTGTCTGTGCTGGGGAATTAGAGGAAAGCCCTTGTGGGGCAGGGAGGGCGGATTATCCCAGCTCTGCTCACGGCAGCATTTCTGCACCTGGCCCTGGCCCCTGGAGGGTGTTCCAGGCACCAACGGGGCTCTGGGTCTTTCCCAGCAGCCAGGCAGGAGGAACGTGGCTTTGGAGCAATCACAAACCCCCCTGAGAGGAAAACCAGCAGGCAGGTTGAGGCAGCGCTGGGTTCCTTCCCACCAGAGCCTCTGCAGGATTTCAGTTCAGCCCCCAGAGAAATTTATGCAACAGCAAAAAAGCAAGTGAAAGGGTTTTTTTCCCAAAATGCTGCTGAGGGGGCAGCCTCGTGCCTTGGGGAGGGGAACACTCTCCTCCTCCTCCTCCTCCTCCTCCTCCAGGATTTGGACCCAGCTGGAGCCACCACCCTGGCTGTGCCAGCCCAAGGCCAGGCAAGATGGGCTCCAGGCTGCAGCCCCTGGGTCGGTCCTGCGGACACAGAACCAGCCCTGGTGGGTTCAGACCCAAACTGGGAATTGCTCCAGAGCCAGGACAGCGAGAAATTTGGGTATTTTTTTAGTTTAGCAGCAGCTCCTTCCTTCCAGACAAGGATGGAGCACACGGGACCATCGCTCCTGAGTGGAAGTGCTGCCTGTGCCTCCCCCTGCCCCCAAAGCCCAGCACAACCAAAGCCCTGGCACCATTTTGCCTGGAGCCACCAAGAGCCACACACCGTGTCCAAACACAGCCTGCCTGCTCCTGGGTCCCTCTCTCCCCTAGAGCAGGAAAACCAGCCCTGCAGCAGGGGAAGGGCTGGGAATTGGCCCTGGAAGGGGAAGGGCAGGGGAAGTGCCCAGGGGGAACAGGGAAACCAGGGAGCCCCGAGCCCCTCCTGGGAGGTTTGCTAGGAAACCTGGAATTGGCCGGGCAGCAGGGATGGAGCAGATGGATCACGCTGTGCTGAGGACACCGACACTCCCCAGGGAAATTACCAGCTAGTTAATTAATGAGCAAACAGGATCTCGTTAACAGCCGGACCTCTGCCCTCCCACCAGGGAGGGGGACACTGGGACAGCCACTCCCCTCCCCAGCGCCCACTCTGACCTGCTGCGTTTTGGGGGTTCACCCCTCAGGGAGCAGGGACCACCCCCTCCATCCGAGCCAGGCGTCTCAGGGGTCTTGGAGATGAAACCTCTGACGCCGGGGGTTTTGGGGTGCGGGGTTTCATGCCCGCTGGAGGTGAGGATGGGCTGTGCAGCCCCCCCAGCCCCGTTCCACCAGTGCACCCAGCAGCCCGGGAACGGGGGGTCCTGCCCCCCCCGCGCGCCCCCACACCCCGGAGCTCAGGAGCATGATGAGGGGCACCCAGGGCACCCCAGGACAGAGGGATGACCCTCGGAGACCCTCCCAGATGGAGAGACAGGAGGGGCGCGGGCACCCACAGCCCCGCGGAGGAACCGGGGGGTGGTCCGGGAGTCGCACCTGCGGCCAGGTAGATCCGCTTGATACCGGTAAGAGCCTCCATCCGGCCCAGCAGGTTCCCGAGGGGGGCCGGGCGCGCGCGGGCGG